CTCTGATGTTAACATATAACTCTGATGTTAACATATAACTCTGATGTTAACATGTAACTCTGATGTTAACATGTAACTCTGATGAGTGATGATTTGTAGAGAACCCCACCACCACCAGGTGTGTTTGGGACCTGGTCATTAAGTACAACACAAAGTATCAAGTTATCAGTCAGGTATAATTATAGGTTGCTGTTACCTTGACAATTGATATCCATAAAACCAGTACAACAGACAACTGTACAAGTTCCACTGTGCCACTGAGCTGTGTCACTGAGCCACTGAGCTGTGCCACTGTGCCACTGTGCCACTGTGCCACTGTGCCGCTGAGCTGTGCCACTGTGTCACTGAGCTGTGCCACTGTGTCACTGAGCTGTGCCACTGTGTCACTGAGCTGTGCCACTGTGCCACTGTGCCACTGAGCTGTGCCACTGAGCTGTGCCGCTGAGCTGTGCCACTGTGCCACTAAGCTGTGCCACTAAGCTGTGCCACTAAGCTGTGCCACTGTGCCACTGAGCTGTGCCACTGTGCCACTAAGCTGTGCCACTGAGCTGTGCCACTGTGCCACTGAGCTGTGCCACTGAGCTGTGCCACTGTGCCACTGAGCTGTGCCACTGTGCCACTGAGCTGTGCCACTGTGCCACTGAGCTGTGCCACTGTGCCACTGAGCTGTGCCACTGTGCCACTGAGCTGTGCCACTGTGCCACTGAGCTGTGCCACTGTGCCACTGAGCTGTGCCACTGTGCCACTAAGCTGTGCCACTAAGCTGTGCCACTGTGCCACTGAGCTGTGCCACTGTGCCACTAAGCTGTGCCACTACACTGTGCCACTGAGCTGTGCCACTGTGACACTAGAACTGTACCATGTATTGGACAATTTGGGTTTAGTCCACCATCACACTTGCTGGAATAGTGATCTGATAAGATAATACTATCGTTACACAGATAAGATAATACTTAAATCGTTAACACAGTCTTTACTTGGTAAAATAGGAATCCTTCCTCAAAAACAGGAACTTTATCACGATATGACGGTATAAGGTATGCAACATGATTGGCTTATGGCCTGTGATTAGACCTTTCTTGGAGCTTACGCTTTAACATTTCTACGGGACAACTGTCATAGAAAATACCAAGTTTGTTAGAGGACAATATCTTTATATTTATAGCTAACAAATGTGGACAAGTACAGCTATATGCTGTTATTCTCAGTCTGCCCACTCCACATAATACGCTATACGTGTAATGAAATGAGATCGTTACTGCAGAGTGCAAACCGTACGATCCCGGACATCCCACAAAAGCTGATGTTCCCAAAAACACGTACACGCTGGGTCATGATCTGTTGGAATTTTCAAACTCAAATTCTTTTGAATATGTTTTATTATACACACTATGATATTATTATTATTCGTAAGTCTACATAATATAACAACATGTATCTCCCGCAAACGCTAGGACGCTCAACGTGTCGTGATCTATTTTTAGAACTATAAGTTGTGTATGCAGCTGCAGCTTGGGATTGTTTGGAAATGCTGGTATACAGAGAGCAGATTAGTGCAGTGCAAAAAGTAATTCTGTGCTAAAGTTATCACGTGATTAAGGTTTTGCGTCTGCGCGTGTGATGCAGGGTATGTTGTTTAGCATTCCTATTGCAAGTTCAATCTGGTCAACGTATTCATCGGATATTATCCAGATTCTCAAGATTGTTGGGTCTTTTAAAAATAGTTTTTGGTCGTTGGTCACGTGGTGTACTGATACCAAACATGGGAATTATTGTAATTTCTTAACGAATGATTAATTTGAATAATTTGAACTATTAAAACAAGTTGGCTATTATATCTGGTAAATATTAAATTGACTTATTATTTAGTACCAAACGTGATCATTTACAACCAAATATGGTCTTGTTTTACCCAATATGGTCAGATTAGTAGTATATCAATTATCATGCCGTTTCCATGACAACGCTGTCTCCTTGACAACTACAACTACAGACATGATAGAACGGCACGTTAGCTCACTATCGTACCGCATGTTACAAATACAAAAATTACGCATATTTATGAACAGCGAACTGTAAGTATGTCAACTCCAATAGATAAGAGGCGTGATGAAACCTTACCTTAGATTTTGGCGGCATAATACTGATTCTTGAGACGAAGCATCGTCTTTTGCCGTCTAATTACGACTTCTTGTTTTTGAGTAAGGTAAGTTCTGCCACACAAAGTTCTAGATAGTGGGCGATAGAGAGCTCTGCTTGCACTACAGAAACCTGATTGCACTTATTAGCTACACGTGATGTAATATTAAGGCCAACAAAAGTTTGGCGAGCTCTAGTAATGGACCACTGTACCATGTTCCTCCTTTAACTGTATCAACGTAAGTCGTAAATAAAGTTATAAAATAGGGTAAATAATAGGTTTAGAACTTTCCAGTATTTGGACTGTATAATGAACATATTGTACAGAAATGTTGATGCTGAACAATTGTGAATTCCTCATCTGATGTGATTTAACGTCGACAATACAATACAGCACGTCAACCCCCATTATATAGTGTGAATCCATTCTTGAATTGATCTACAGCCTGTGTTAAACGAATCTCTAGATAAGTACCCGGTGTTAATATAGACATCATTTACACTTTACAGATTTATGTTGCAATCCTGCAATACATCGAACTTGATAGAATTTCTCAGAAAAAGAAAAATGACTGAATTGCAATGTTCCAAACAGTATGCATAGTGCAAACATATTTTAGCAACATATTGAAAAGATTGAATCCACATCGATCATCGATATACATTGAAATTAGTACCCCAATTATTCGGAACCTGAAAAAGCTGCAGTGAGCCAAAGTTCGGAATTACTATTACAACCTCGTGTTGACAAGCGTCGTCCAAGTGTCATACTACTTCAGGATCTGTTTACACAAACCAGGAATTTTAAATATGACAGGTGCCGTCCTACTTCAGGATTACTTCACTATAAAGTTCAGATAAACATGTAGCTGAGGTTTAAATATTAGGCTCTGTTTTAGTTTTAACCTTAGGTGTAACTAGGGCCTGCTCAGTTTGGAAGTTTACACTGCCGGGCTGTTTGCCGCAAATAATACTAGCGAAGTTTGACGGGTGGATCAGTGCCATGTTATTTTCAAATGTCAACTCGGCTTTGAATTATGCCGCTTTCTTTTAATAACCACGACACTGCGAGTATTGATAGACAAAATTAGACATATTATACGATTTTTATTTTGGCGTACACCAGTATTATTAGAAGATGACAAAATTCCAGCAGCATGATTATCTGTCACATGATCCGTGGAATGAGAGAGGAAGATGATTTTAATTGTTGTTTGAGAAGATATCATTTGATCAATAAACGT